TTCCAGAGATGTGCCCTTTCTTCAGGAACCTTCTACTTGATCCCTAGGGGTCATGCTCATCAGCCAAGAAAAAATTGGATGTTTCAAGTAAGATGAAAGGGAAGACAATATTGACCTTGATGGAAAGACACTAATCAATAATTTAGGTTCATATTTTGAGCCAGTGAAATATTTTTTGGAGTGCTTTTACTATCTGATATTTAAAGAAAAGCAATAGTAATACATGACATGTGAATAATGTTAGACAGTTTATAAGTTTATCATAAATTATCTCTTTGGTCAAAAAAAAATCCCCTAATAATTCAGGAAAAATACAAGGGAAAGCAAATTAAAGAGTAGCAGAGTAGAAAAAGTCAAAGAAAAAATTTAGATGCATATAATGAAACAATTACCAATGGATGTACTTTGCATTTTATTTTCCCTGAAATGTACTCGTGAAAAATACAATGTCCTCTGTGTCTAATTTTAAAGGCAAATTATATTTTAAGATACATGAGGAGAAAGTACTCAAATAGTTCCCCATTTATTCTGTTTCTACTTTCCCTTCTCAATCCACCATCTGTATTACAGCCAGGGTGGTTTTTGTAAAAATATAAATAAGATCATGTAAATCCCCAGTTTACAACCTTTCAGTGGCTTTCCTTTCACTTGGAATAAAATCCAAATCCTTCTTACCTGAGTGATCTGGATTCTGACGCCTCTCCAACTTCTTTTCATGTCACATTTTTCTCCAGTCATAAATTTCTTCAGCCACACTGGCTTTTCATTAGTTGCTCAAATACATTGAATTCTTTCCCACCTTAGATCTTTTGCCCATGCTGATCCCTTGCCCATGAAGCCCTTCCCCACACTTCAGAAGGCTAAACACGTCTTATGTTAACATACCTCCTGATGTTAGGCCTTCTCTGAGCCCTGGTATGTAAATTAGGTTCCCACTGCTAGATATTCAGGTCTAGCAACATATCTTTCAGAGCACCATGTCACACTTCCTCCATTATTTGCTGCACTAGACCTCCTCCTAGAGTAGAAGTGCCATGGACGTGGCCATGGCCTCTAGCACAGTGCAGGCCCACAGTAATTCAATAACATATATTTCTTAATTGTGGTAAAATACACCAGAATTGACCATCTCACTTTTAAGTGTACAGTCCAGTGGCAGTTAGTACTTTCACATTGTTGTATTGTCATCCAGAGAATTCTTTTTATCTCACTGATGTGCTAAATAATATTTACAGAAAGAAGAGGTCCCTGATCCCTTTTGTAAAGTGAAGGATCCTCTGTAATGTAAACAAACAGACAAACAAACAAACAATAATCCCTCCCAATTTAACCACTAGAGAAGTTCAGATTTTAATATACTTGATTTTCATAAAAAGTGGAGCACACAGAAAACTGCTAGAAATACATGTGGGTGTGGGCTGGGAAAATCAAGTGTTACTGGTCACTCTAAGTGAAACGGCTGAGAAAAAAATGTGAATAGGAAATTAGGTAAATTAGTAGGTAAATAACATAGAAATAGCATATACATTTAAACTATCTTGGGCCTCTCAATACAGGGAGATCTTTTACAAATGAATGCTTATTTAGACGTTGACTTTCCTTCTAATGTGGGCTCTCCGAGTGCGTGGCCATTTGATGACATAAACAAGTAACTGGAAGTGTTTTTTTACTCTAAGACAAAGAAACTACCCAAGAGATGACTTGTATCTGGGAAGAGTCATTTAGGTTTGATTCCTATGAGAGGCTTGCAAAGCTGTGAGATCGTTAATTGACTTGAAACTCTTACTGCCAGATGAAATCCTGGTGTGTGTTCACAGGGCTCAGAGGATTCAGCTAGGAGTTTTGAAATTTGGAGAGGAGGGAGACATAGAGGCATCTGAAAAAAATTCTTTTTCAAGGTAATAAAAAGGAGGCAAAGCTAATTAGAGACCATAGAGCAGACATGTACAAATAATTATGTATTTATATGGTGCACATAAATACTAATTAAAGTACGTGTTGAAGTGGTAAGGGGAGCTAGCTTCATCTGGTTGGGATGTCTCACTCTGCCGGTGTCTCCAAAACAGTGATTTCATGTCCATGTAAACACTCTTCTGAACTAACACAATTAGCATGGCTGTAGCTCAAATTACATAATTTACAAGTTAATCCTTCAGACCTAACATTAAGCTCTGTGAATTCAATTATAAATCACTATGTCGAAAATACTTCGTAACAATGAATTTTTAACAAGAGACCTTCAAGAAGGTCCCCATCTATTCAGCCAGGTCGTGGGGTTTTTTTGTTTTGTTTTGTTTTTTAAGCCTCAAAGGATTTCATAATTGCTTAAACCAAACCCTAACTAACCAATGTAACATAAAGACAGGCTACCATCAACCCAAAGGCAGCAAGGTCAATGAACAGAGTACAAAGCTCCAGGAGGTGTGTTCTCAAGGTGGAGAGTTTCTCATTATTCGATACCACCGGAAGGCAGCGGTGTCCAAAAGTGCTGAGCTCTGCAGTACTTTGCTATTCCCATCAGTTAGCATAACATCATCTGGCTCCTGTTCTGGGTATTGATGTTATGTAAACACGCTTACGTAAGGAAAGGAGAAATAAACACGCAACCAATATGCAGTGCTGGCTGCTGATCGATGCCAGAGCATGCATATTTTGATTTGTGCTTTATGTAGAGCACAAAAATACTACTTCGATAAATCTGTACAGTAAGGTGCAAGCTGTTGAGAAAATGGCATCAAAATACACAATGTGGTTCTGTGTTTATTTCATCCTAACTGGAATGTCACTTCCTACACGGATCCATCTGTATTCCAACCAGGTCCTAATGGTATATGCTTATGGGACATCTGGTTGATTTCTTGCTCTAATACAAAATTATATTTGTGGTAAAGCCATGACCTATCTCTTTATTGGCATTGTACTTGGAGCAGCTTGTCCTAGATAGTCCTCCTAGATAGTTCCTTCTCCCCAGAAATGCCCAGACACATCCTGGTTGCTTGCACATCCAGAACCTTGGCTCTGGGTTTGAATCTAGACTCCACCTCTTCTTTCTAGCTGTACAAGTCTGAATAAATTACTCAACGCAGTTTCCTCCCTGGCAAAATGTGGGTAATAGTACCTATCCCCAAACGTTGATAAGCAGATTAAAGGAGATCATGTAGCACTGGGGGGCACATAGTAGCTAATAAATGGTAGCTAACTCGGTAATAGAACACCCAGGTACATTTGATGATGTGCAAACCAGCCTTTATGGTCCACTTCAGGGGAGCACAGTGAATGCACTCTCTCACAAACACTAGCAGAGAGGCAGTCCCCCAACGACTGTGCTGCCTTTGGAAGGTCTAAGGCCACTTCCCTGTTAATTGCTGGCTTCACCACCCAAGCCATTCTTTATGTTACATAGTCTTTACGCAGCCTGAGTGGGCCTTCATTGCCTGATCACCAGACACTCTCAGGGGAAACCATTCGTGGGCAGAAATCGTGAAGGGTCCCCGTGTCCCTGCTGGGCGTGTGAAGTTAGGGCAGAAGCTTGACTTGATGATACACACCTGCTCTTGCCTTCTTTCCCACTCACACCTTCTTCTGGAGTCCAGATGTCTGCTGTACTGCCTGGCAATTGGGAGCTTAGCTCTTATTTATGATTAAGTAAGCAACACAGGTTAATCATACTCCCAACCTAAATATAATAACCCAACATAAATTTGAGGGAGGCCTTGTTTCTTGTGTTTGCTTTAGTTTGCTTCCTGAGAAATGATGACTCCTGCCTTTACCCCATATTGACTAATTCTGGGCTTGCTGTGGCTGTGATAATCTATGGCCCCGGCAGATGCTATGTAACTGGCCAACCACTTATTTTGTTACCTCCAGTCTATCACAAGGACAGGCTATGATGAAAAGAAAGTATTCGAGGAGATCACTTTCTCTGACCATCTTGTTATGGATGAAAAAAATGCCTTCTAAAATTATGCACAGGCACATTTTATTTAAACATACAGGAATTGGGGTGCCTGGGTGGCCCAGTGGTTGAGCGTCTGCTTCTGGCTCAAGGCATGAGCCCTAGGGAGTCCCACATTGGGCTCCCCAAAGGGTGCCTGCTTCTCCCTCTGCCTATGTCTCTGCCTCTCTCTCTGTCTTTCATGAATAAATAGATAAAAAAATTTTTTAATATAGGAGTTTGTTTTATTTTAACAAAAATCCTATTCAGGGGATAAAACATGTTTTAATCACCCCCTATGATTCCTGTTGGGGAGGGAGGGGTTCTTGCCCTAGGGTTACAGTGATGGCCAAACACATGATGCCAACACTGGAAGATGAGACCCACAAAAGCTCATTAGTCACATATATGTACAGCCCAGAGGAGGACACTGATGTCATGCAGAGCCATACAGGAATGGAATGGGCAGCTAAGGGCTATGGCAAGCAGACTTTTGAATGTCAAGAGAGTGAGGTGGCATCTGGCTCCCTCAGTGGCTTGTTTGAATAATTCTGCTAGCTAGCAGGGGACTGAAACCCATTCCCCCAGGATAAGTAGGAACTACTTCTGGTTTTTTTGATAGGAGGGTTATTTGGCTAGGGATCTTATCCATGAGTCTACTAGGATGTTCAAGGTCCCCCAAGTTTCACCAGATGCAAGGTGGCCCATAATAGACTGGACATGTCAACATTATGAACCTCTCCTGTTGGTGTAGAAACCAGAGCAAATGGATTTCCCAATGGTGACTCTAATTTTTTTTTTAATTTTTATTTATTTATGATAGAGAGAGAGAGAGAGGCAGAGACACAGGCAGAGGGAGAAGCAGGCTCCATGCACCGGGAGCCCGACGTGGGATTCGATCCCGGGTCTCCAGGATCGCGCCCTGGGCCAAAGGCAGGTGCCAAACCGCTGTGCCACCCAGGGATCCCCTGGTGACTCTAATTTGCTAAAGGACCTTATTTTTTTCCTACATATAACACAAGACCATGACAAAGTAACATAGTAAGAAAGAAGCAATCCGTTAGTATCCTAAGAAAATAAGACATTTTATTTCCTTTCCTTAAATATGTGTGCTGTCCCATGCCTTCAACCTAATGTCCATTCATTAAGAGGGGAGAAAGATAAGTTAATGCTTCCCAAATTTGGATACCTTCTCAAAATAACAGAAGGATGTGTCATTTTCTTTTGTACTGTGTAGCCACTGCTTCAGGACCTCCCCGTCCCCTAACCCACTGTTGAAAAACAATTGTCTTTTCCTACATATGTCATGGCATACTTGTATTTACATTTTTGGTAACATTATAAAGCCTTGGAAGCTTGATGCATCCCCTATAGTTTGCAAAGGTAATCAGCAGAAGGATAAGAACAAAAAGCCTTGTCTCTCTTCTCCATCCCATCCTATCCTCTGTCACTTAAGTTTATACAGCACTCACCCCTACAACACAGCTACCATAAAAATAAGGTAGACTGTATATAGCATTACAAAAAACAGATCTTTAAAAAATCAAAAGTGTTTAACTGGTACACACCTAAAACAGTGCCTGGCATACGGTAAGCTCTTATTCCAACATTTGTTAATGAGGTGAATGTCTACAGTAGGTATGATTAAAATGAACCAGCACATAGTTCAAAAAGATGAGCACATCTGCATAAAAAAAAAATGTACAGGGCCTACTTGCTGACACTCAGGGTCAGTTCTTAAATTGGACCTGTTCTTCTGAGTGAAGATCCGGAGTCATCTCCATCAGCACCACTTAAGATGGTCCTATAACAGTTTGTCTAAGGCCAAGAATAAGCATTTCAGAGAGCACTTCTGCTGATTCTGAAGTCCACCGGAGTTTGAGGCTCATTCGGTTACATAATTAAGTAGATGCATTTTAGAGAAAAGGAAGGAAGGCACTATAGATTTTTTTTCTGTTTGTGTTCCTTGAATATTCACATGTTGAAATCCTACCCCACAAAGTGATGGGATTAGGAGGTAGGGTCTTTGAGAGGATTAGGATTAGGTCCTAAGGGTGGTATCCTCATGAATGTAATTAGTGCCCTTAAAAAAGAGACCCCAGAGCAAACCCTTGTCCCTTCTGCTATCAGAGGTTCCAGTGAGAAGATAGCCATAAATAAGGAAGTGGTCTCTCACCAGTCAATGTATCTGCTGGCACCATGATCTTAGCTTTCCCAGCCTCCAGAACGGTGAGAAATAAATGTTCATTTATAAGCCACCCAGTTTATGATATGTTTGTTACAGCAATCCAAACAGATTAAGAAAGAAGGAAAGAGACTCCTCCTTTGACCAGCACAGCACAGGCCCACTGAGTCACAGTTTCATTCTTGGTGTGAATACAGGTGTTTTCCAATTCTTCCATCACCTACCAGACTCTTCCCACCAACACGCATTTGTGAATTTCATGACAAAAAGAGATGTGCCTTTGAATTGTGCTTTATGGTGTTTTAATTCTTAAAATGTACTTTTTTTTTTTAAAGTTATTTACCTAAATCTAAGGCAAGCTTTAGAAATAACTGGAAATACCTAGGTCTCCATGCTGTAACTCCTTTTCTAACAGGCTTTTCCTGCATCCTTGGTCTCCGATATATAGTTCAGTGGTACCTCACCCCTGCCGCACTGAGAAGACTGCATGGGGGCCTCCACGCTGACTCCTCCACCATCTTGGATTTGATGTTCATCTCTCTACTCTGTACAATAAGACAGGCTTTGAAGTTCATGAAGAACCCTTTTGATTGAAGACCCTGAACGAGTGGTAGTTCAATTTTGGCATAACCTAGGACTCCTTTGTGGTGTTTTCTTGGAGGAGGAGTTGTGTCCTCAGTCTCCTGGGCTGCTGGGGCTTTTTCCTTTCCCTCAACCCTAGTGTCAGGGAGCTAAGGAGCCAAAGAAGGATGATATTAGGGTTGTCTGTCTTCCCCGGTCCTATGGTTCTGGAACTGACTTCTGACAGAATTCTGTCCATTTCCTTTTGATCCCTCTGGGTTCTGCCTTGGGCTGGGGGGGCTCTCTGGCTTCCATCCCATTCACTGTGTAGCCTGCAGGATGGAGACAAGAGGTCTGCTGTGGAACCTTTAACTGTTTCTGCAACAAACTTGCTGGTCATCTCTGCCCTGCAGTTACCACATATATGTTGTCCACAAGGGAGGAACCAGCAGCTCTTGCGGACATGCTACAAGTATGCACTAGAAGCAAACACTTGCTCCAAGTACATGAAGACCTCTGAGGCCACATCAGAAGCACCTGTCATGAACATGCAGGTTCCACTTCCTGCTGGATCCAGGAAGGCTATTCCTGCTGGTGCTGTATTAATGTGCCAAGTCTGTACTCGGTTGCCTCCCTGTCCACAGCACTTGCTGTGGCGCCTATCCCTTTGTCAGGCACAGTAGGCGCTGTGATTAGGGAAGGGTGTGCTTCTGGGAAAACAGTTCATGAGAGGAGGTGGACCCAAACAGGAGGTTGGTGATCCTCTTGTCCATGGGGCTCCATAACCGCTGGGCTCTGCCTCAAACTCAGGTATGTCCTCTGTGTCCTCTGCTGGAATGGCTTGGGTACAGCTGGAAGCTTCCATTGGTGGTCTTGGAAGTAAACAAGGTTTTCCTAGTGGAAAAAAAACAAAAAGATCCCTTGCACCTGAAGGGGACACAGCTGAAGGTTAAAGACATGTCCGGTGGCAAGCTTCAGGTGGGGCTGTTGTTTCTCATGACTTCGAAGGCTATCTTTACAAACTTCAAGGGAAGCTCCCCGGTTAACTCCAAGGTCCTGGTAAGCCTGTGGCCTCTTCCCTGGGTGTCTTCCACACCTGGCATGCTCCTCATAGCTTGCGCTGGCCAGCATCATAGTATCAGATGTTGCTGGGCTGGTGGATATGAAGCTCAAGGTCACCACTGGCACGGAGTGTACATCGATCATTTCTCTTTTGCTGATCTGGAAAAAGTCTCTTTCAAAGATCAGTGGGTACTTGAATATAGCACTCTCCTCCCCCCCTATACAGTTGTCACTGCGATGTCCCCACGGAGGTTAATAAAAAAAAGTTCACTACACCCTGTTTTCCGCTGTGAAATATGGGAGCACATTTTCGAGGCTCAGGGCTATCTTTTACCAAGACAGCTCCCTGCGGCTCGCCCCCAGCTCCCGCCCCGCCCCGCAGGCCACCAGGCCGCACGCCGCACACCGCGCACCCAGGCCTCCGGCCAGTGGCTGACCTGGCTGCAGAGCCCTCGAGGGAGCAGCCAGGAAGGTGTGGGGCGCTCGGGCCCACCCCTCAGCCCCTGCAGCCCGCGGGGGACAAGCCTGACAAGCCCTCGGAGGGGAAGAGACGCAGGTCGCGCTGGGGCGGGGGGGGGGGCGCCCCCTTGATCCCCGCCGCCCTTGATCCCCGTCAACCGGAGCCAAACGCAAACGCCCGCCTGCCCGCTGAGCCTCCCATTCAACCAACCCCGGGGCCACCTTTAACCCTCTCTGGCCCATCGGGACCTACCGACGTCACACCGCCCCTGGTCCTGGTTCGGCCACAGCGGGCCCCTCCGGTAGGGACTCCACCCCCCTCCCGCCCCCCAAACTCAGAGCCCCCGCCCAGGCCCCGCGGAAGCGCGGCGCGCATGCGTAGACCCCGCCTGCTCCAGGACTGGAAAACCTCCGACGGGGCGGGGGGCGGGGGGAGGGCTTCTAATTGCAAAAGTAAAGACTTTGCTTGTGAGCCCAAGCTGCATGGTTTTCCACTAGAAAATTATCAAAAGGCAAGGGATGTATTTGTTCAGAAATTACAGCCTCTCTGAGCTGGAAGGGACTAGAAATTATGTGTTACAACCCCCTCATCATACACGGGGTTGGAGAAACTTTTCCCATAGGTTCACAGAATGAGGGGGGGGGGTTGAAGGATGGGGGGGATGTGGAGGAGGATGGGGGTGTGAAGGAGAATGGGGGTGTGGAGGAGGATGGGAGGTGGAGGAGGATGGGGGGTGTGGTGGAGGATGGGGTTGTGGAGGAGGATGGGGGGTGGAGGAGGATGGGGGGTGTGGTGGAGGATGGGGTTGTGGAGGAGGATGGGGGTGTAGTGGAGGATGGGGGTTGTGGAGGGGGGGGCTTATGCTCTGAGTGAGATGCTTTTTGGCCTCATTGCGTGCTGCAGTGTCCTTCAACTAACACCATGTCTGTATTTGCAAACTTTTCTTATACATATAAGTAGCTCTTTTTTTCCCCAAACACAAAACAAGTTTGATTTATCATATAAATTCCAAAGCATTCTTTGAAGCAAGTTGTTTTAACAGATTCACAGTTGACCCTTGAACAAAATCAGGGCGGTAGGGGTGGGTAGGAGCCCTGACCCCTGCCTGGTCAAAAAAAAAATGAGTGTAACTTTTGATTGCCCCAAAACTGGACTACTGAGAGCCTACTGATAACATAAACATTCTATTAACATGTATTTTTATGTTATTTGTATTATATACTGTATTACTACAATAAAGCAAGTAAAACGTCATTTAAAAAATTAAAAGGAGGGATGCCTGGGTGGCTCAGTGGTTGAGCGTCTGCCTTCGGCCCAGGGTGTGATCCTGGAGTACCAGGATTTAGTCCCACATTGGGCTCCCTGCATGGAGCCTGCTTTTCCCTCTGCCTGTGTCTCTGCCTCTCTCTCTGTGTCTCTCATAAAAAAATAAATAAAATCTTTAAAAAAATAATAAAAAATTATAAGGAAAAACATACACTTATAGGACTGTACTATATCTATGGAAAAAGAATCTTCCGGAATGTGGACCTTCGTAGTCCAAACCTGTGTTGTTCAAGGGTCAACCATAGATGAAAGCTTAGTATTCACAGCTACTGCAAGCTGCATTTGAGCTATCTAGTTATATCTGGGGTCAAATAACTCGGCTACATCAAATTTAGGAGAAATAAAATTGGAGCTGTTCTTTTACTCAAAATGCCCCCGTCTGCTCAGAAAGGTTTGATCTAAATCTGGTGAAGCACTTGCTATGGAAAAGGCCTTAGTTCTTTTAGGCCTAAGTTGATGAAACAGGGCAGAAAGATACAGTGATACCCAGATAAATAAATCCTCTAAAGCCAAAGGCACTTGTAGCAAAGTCAGCCTGATAATAAATGGGTTTGCAGGAACCTTCAGTTCCCTCCACACTGGATGAGAAGTGTCGTCACCTAACAAATGAGTCAGAGTCAGAGGTGTCAGATCCTGAATTTTTACAAAGATCGGGGTCAGAATCAGATTAAATTAGTGGCTAGAATTCTGGGAGTTTATATGAGCTAGCCAGTTAGGACAGAGAAGGGGGCATCATAAATGGATTCATGTACTGGACCAAATATGCACATTTTACTTACAGCTCCAGTCAAGACATTTCTGATGGCGAGGCTTTTTATTCAAAGTTATGTGTTTCCAATTTGGTTCCATAAGGGAGTTAATGGGATTAATTAAGACAAGATATAAGAATTTAAGGATTATTTTAAGGAGTGGGATACCTGGACCATGCATGCAGCCTAGCAGTCTCTTCTTGACAAAAACACCAAAGGATGGATCACTGGAAAGCATCACTGTCTTTCTTCACTGACCTAAAACTTTGGTTGAGTCTGACTTCCCTTAGTAGTATTTTAATGTATCCATTATTCTTAAACTTGTTCTGGACTGTTTATTTTTGTGATAATTAGTTTTCCGTACTGGCTAATAGAATCTGTGTTGTTTACTGAATTTCTTTCACTTAAGTCTGAAAGAATATCCCTTAGTCTAGCTATTTCAGAGTTGAAAACAGGAATAGAAAAAAAAGTTCCTTCTCTCTTGTCCAAGGCCCTAAGCCAGTCTGGCCTAAACCATGCACTGGACACTGAAGAAAGATGGTCTGTGATGCATATCTACCTGATACGTTCCATCTCTTCCTCTTCCTCTGGTTTTCTCTTAACTTTCAACCTCTAACCTGGTTGCTTATTCCGCCATTATGTCCTTGCCCTGACTCTTTGATCTGTACATTATCATCTCCTGGTTGTGAACTCTTCCATCATCTGAAGTGATCACCTCTCCTTTTTTGGAGAACTTGTAGACCGTCTTGGGACACAGGTCATCTGGCCCAATCTACTCACAGGGATTTGCTTACCTAACATGCTGTATCTCCTTCACCAGCTCAAATGTCCACCCCACCCAAATAACGTACTCTGGTCTTTCAGATGAAACCATATACATGTTCACTTTATACACATCATTCATTCTTCTATGAATTGCAATCTTACATTTTTACAATTTAATATCTCAGATTCTAAAAACATCACACAGGAGCTGAAAATGAGCCAGGCTTTATCTTCTCAGCGGGGGGATAGCCTGACCAAGTTACATAATCTTGGGAAGGTACAAATGAAACGAAACTACATCGTAGGGGGACAGAATCGGGGGGGAGTTCCTCTATAGTTGGCAGGCATGAGGAGTTTGTCAGATTGCCAGGACATATGTGAATTATCCAAAAGTATATTTACTCAGTGTTGTCCACTAGGATTAGTGATTCTTTTTCAAGGAAGCTGACACTGCAACTTTATTTCTCTTATCTTTCTTAAATACAATTATGATTTTGTTAGTTCCTATCATAAGAAACCATGTTCTAGATTCCATTCCACCTCCTTAATTCCACAGACTTCACTCTCTCCTCTAAGCAGTGGCACAATGACCGTAGCCAGCACAAGCAGAAAGGTGGGCAGCAAAGCACACGTATACCTGTGTGTAGCACCAAAGCCCCTTCCTTATTCTACCATTCGACAATTGTTTTTTTTTTTTAAATCATGGATTTATTATATATGTTCTAAGCACTGGAAATCCAACAGTAAATAAAGCAGTTTATTATATACATAAATAATGTCTCCATCATCTGGCCCTTTTGTCTTTGCCCCCTGGTCCCTAAATTTTCCCTTGTGGAATTTATAATAAATAAGATAAACATAGAGTTCATTAGGGATAAACGTGAAAGATTAAAAAACAAAAAACAGGTAAGAGAGATTGGGAGACCAGAAAAGTCATCACCGAGAGGGTGCCATTTGCACAAATGTTCCAAGGGAAAGAGGGAGAGCAGCCTTGAGCATATCTGTCAGAAGAGCATCCCAAGCCAGGAGAACAGAGAGAGCCAAGGCCATAAGGAAGCCAATGTGCCCAGGGAGGAGTAAGAATGGGGAGACCAGCAGGAGATAGATCAGAAAGGCTGGTGTGTAGGATAGATCAAGAGCTAACTGCTGGGTCACTGGTCAGCACTTTAAATTTTCTTGGGAGCTCAACTGAGGAATAAATGTGTTTTGAGGAGCATACTGTTTTATGGTTTAGGGTGATGACTCTGGTTGTTATGCTGATAAGAGAACAAAGAGGGTTGGAGCCAGTGAGAAGACTGGGGCAGTAATCCAGCAGGTGTGGAATGCTGCTGGTGACTTGGACCAAGGTGGTGGCAGAGTGAGACGGCGTCAGAATCTGGATACATTCTGAAGGTAGAACCAAAAGGATTTGCTGGCCTTGTGTATGTGAAATAGGAGAGAAAGAGAGGAGCTCGGGATGGCTCCAAGATTTTTTGACCCATGTAGACACCATGGACTTGGTGGGATCACCCTCTTGGATCCTACATGGACCCCCGTAGACCATGTAACTTGCGGGGATCACCAAGTCTTCTCAAATCTTCAAAGACTTTCTATTATCCTCAGTTTAGCGAGCATTTCTAAGTAATAATAGCAATACTAATGCTAGATTCTATCCAAAGTATTAGTGTTTTATAATTTTCAAATTATTAAAGCTTCATTCACTATGTTAGGTGGTTATACAGTTGACCCTTCAATAATGCAGAGGATAGAGGTACTGACCTCCGGCGCAGTCGAAAACCCATGTATAACTTTTGACACCCCCAAAACTTATGATAGCCTACAGTTGACCAGAAACCTTACCAATAACACAAACATTTGATTAACATATATATTGTATATGTATTATATACTATGTTCTCACAATAAGGTAATCTAGAGAAAATATTAAAAAAACCAGAAGAAAAAATACACTGACAGTACTGTACTGTGTGTATTTACAGAAAAAAATCCACATACAAGTGGACCTGAATAGTTCAAACTTGTGCTGTTCAACTATATATTTCTTTGTGGTTTTTTTGATTTGTAGATACATATAATGTTGCTGAATTTAATTTTCTGTTTCCACTTGCAAAATTCTTATCTAAAGAATACCCAAACTGGTTGTGTTATTTCAGGAGGGGAAATGCTGATGGGTTGGGCCATGGTGACTATGGGAGTATGGAGTGAGGAAGGGAGGGAGTGAAAGGTCAGGGGGTGGAGGGAGCAATGAGAAGGGGTCAGACTCTCAATATATCCTGAAGGCAGAACCAAGAAGATCTTTTGGCAGACTAGGTGGGAAGTATGAAAGAAAGAGAAGAGAAATGAAGAAAATAACTTGTCCTCGTGTATTAGCAGTTAAAAGATTTTTCATCACTAACAAGACTGATGAATATCAGGTGATATCATTAATTTGTCCATGACTCATTCAACAATGATCATCTAGTGTCCTTTCCGTGTCCTAGGTGCTGGAGACACATCTGTGAACAGGATGGGCAGAAATTCCAGCTCTTAAGGAGTTTACAGTCTCAAGGGTAGAGACAAATTATATGTATAATATATCAGATGATAAGTGCTAAATGCATGGGGGCAGGGTGCAGTCAAGGAAGGAGGATAGAGAGCAAGAGGAATTCATATGTGGTTAATTCTTAGGGCTTGTTAAATAATATATGGGATTTATTCCTGTGTCTATTTCTTTCTAACAGCTTGATGCTGGGAAATATGCTCATTTTATCAATTTGCCTACCAATAAAATAGAAGAATATGGGTTACCTACTTAGTATTTCTAGATTTTTTTAGAGCATTGGAAAGAAGAATTAAGAATGGCGCCCGTGGTAAGGGTAGTGCCCCCTGAGCACACTGACAGTGTTCCCCATGAAGATAACAGAATATTTTTATTAGCAATGAGTAGTAAACTGTACTTGGTTAGACAGTAGTCACTGCAGACAATTGGGTTTAGATATCTACTTAGCATCACCTCTATTTAACCTACGCAGGTTGTCCTCATTAGGGCTTTTCACTTAGAACACCATTATAGCAATCATATACTGTATTTTTAGCATCTTATATAAACTTCCCCACAAATGCCCAAGTTATATAACCACCCCCCCCACACACCCAGACTTTTCTCCAGCCTCTCACAGAATTACAGTAGGGGCGAGGAGGTGTGTGTGTGGTGGGGGATCCCTGTCCTATGATTGAAAGGGTTAACGTCCCAGAGATCAGATCCCCCCTCCCCTGGATGGGGCTGGGTGTGCATCAACAAAGTGTGCTTCCTGATACCCCTTCTATTCTCAGCCTTTCCTCTGCTGTTAGATTTTCATGTAACAGGTGTCACGTTGCTGTGTTCCTGAGCTTGGAAGACTCGCTGCCTCCTCTCAATTGTGTTCAAACAAACCCCTAGGGCTCAGATCCAGAGGCAGAGGCACCTGAGAGATGGTTCCAGTTCCCTCATTTTACAGATGGCAAATGACTTCCTCCCAGATAGCACAAATATGGGCGGCACCAGGTCTCCGGATTGCCCCTCCAGTATGACTTCCGTTAAACCAGGAGTTTCTCAGATCTTAGTGTCCTCATACACATAAAATAAGGGCTATGAGAGGTGGTCTCTGAAGACCCTTTCATCTGTGCATTGTGTACATATATGCTATTGGGTGTGTGCTGGTTATATTGGACTTTAGAGTTTACTGTATTCAATGCACTAACCGGAATGTTACCAACTGCAATAAATCAGAAAGAGGATATAATTTTGCTTGGCTCTTTAAAGCTTAAATTCAGGCTTTCTTTTTTAATGGTAAGAATGTGAAGAAACAAATGGTAAATTCACCCACGGCAAAAAAAAAAAAAAAAAAAAAAAAAGAAAGAAAGAAAAAAAAGAGGCTCAAATACACATCTTCAGCTGACTCGTGTCCAGGAAAAGCACTATGTTACGTTATTCTTAAATAGGAGTTTACCTAACTATATCAGGAAAAGTCTCCTTCTGGTGTGGCGGGGGGAGGGCAGGGATACGAAGGGAATGATGGTGATAAGCATTTTCCAAATTAGGAAACAGATATGCTTTTCTTCTTACTCTCTTACATAACTGATCTATTTTAGAAGACAACACTAAAAAACTGAAATGAAATACAAATCTCATGATTTTACTACTTTGTTAGCAAAGACAGAGGCAAGTAATGCTCAGAGGGAAAGAGGGGAGAGCCTCACCCCGGTGTACTCCCTCTGGCCAGGGGGCTGCTTCACGGGTTCCCCCTCCTCCACTGCAGCCTGCACGGGGAGCCAGAGACCAAAGTCCGAATTTTAGAAAATGAATGAAGGTACTAGTTTTTCTCTCCTCTTAATTTAAAAGGCAGTCACATCAAAGTGCATATCCCCTTTTGGTGGCAGAGAATGATGGAAGAGTGACCTGCTACAGCCGGTGATTGTTTTGCCCCAGACTTCCTGTTTCAGAGGGAAACTGTGCAGCACAGAAAGGCCACAGAGGCAGCCTCTTACATAAATAAGTTACATAAATGAGAACCAGTTATGTAAATGTATAAACCAGCAAACATGAATTATAACCATTCACAAATGCCAAGGAGATCACGGCAAGATTCCTCCCACGGTCCCATTTTTTTTTTTCCCCTCTCACATTATTGTAATTGTACCATTTTATTTCACACCAGAATCAGATGCGCTTATCTGTCACATTTATTAGGGAAAGAAACTCGAAAGGACAAATGATACTTCACACTATTTTCTGAACCATATATTTTACTTTTGGGGGAAATTGCATAATAAAACCTGACTGGAACTCTATCTGAAGGAAATATAAGCATATTTGTTAATTTATTATACTTCATGTGTAATCATGGACACATGTATGAAGTATTTACTATTGTACATTTTTGCCAGCTGCTGTTAAGGACAGGAATGTATCACAAAAAGTCAATGTCCATCTACATAGGAATATTTGTTTTCTCACTTATGGTTTCAAGTCTCGAGTATGTGAGCATTCATTCTTATTATTGAGGGAAGGCAATACGGGGGGGGTGGTTAGGATTAAATTCAAGGTCACAATTACGATTAATCCCAATATTCCCCACCTCAAATGATTAGGAATTGCCCCTTGTTTCTTGGCTACAGTGTTTTTCAGGTGCAGTCATGAATAGTACAGGAACCCGTTTGCCTCTGCACCCTGTTGGAATGGGAGCCTCCGCTTTTCCTTTAACTAGCTTTTTCCTTGTTCCTTTGGGGCAATATATCCACATCTCGTCTGAAGTTACAGAATTTGCTCATTGTGTAGTAAAAACATATGTAACTCAAAAGCAGTTTTGAGCCTAACTGCCTGTTCCATATAAAGAAGGATGTTAATTAAACGTTAGCCCATTTCAGGCATAGCATGCTCCGGTTAACATTCCATTTACCAACTTTCTTTATTTTGAAAATCTCATGTACTGTATCTCTGAGATCTAACACGGTAACCTAACAGTGAAATGAGAGAAGGGAGCAGAGCCTGCATACATTATTGGCTGTGTGATTTGGGGCAGGTAACCTTCCCTCTCTGGGTCATTGTTCTAACCATCTGCAAAAGGATTAAAAGTTCTAAGTCATTTCCAGCATTAACAATCTAGTGGCCTGTTATCAGATCTATATTCTCGACTGAGAGCTTTAAACCCGCTGATACCAAGTTTAAAGGAAATATAACCGACTTACAAAAACCCAGATCATTTTTTTCCTTCTGTTGGCAATGCTGCAAACCCCGCGCAGGTTGTAGCGTTATAACCGCCCTATGAAAACTATTCATCTTGGTGGTTTCTCTTTAAAAATGCCAAATATAGGCCTTAGCCATCTGTGGAGCATTGAAAGGGATGGGAAGAGCGCGTCGGCCACCCTGGGAACCTGCGGGCTTTCTTCCTCGCGGTGGGGGCAGTTTTACACAGGAAATCCGCAGTAACTTGCCACCGTGGAAAAGTGCCTTGTCCTCCGCTGGGAGTCGGCTCAGGAGCGTGGGTGGGGTTATTTTGTCTCTCAAGTCGACCTAGCCTAGGCGGGAGGAGTCACAGAGTCCCCAGACTGACTCGGCGCACGCTTAGGTCCTCTGCCTCTACATGTCCATCTGTAACTTGGGTGTAAAGAAACTAACTGCAGACGTGCACCTGACCACCACACGGGGAGGCGCCCACCGGCCGGGAAGACGAGGGCGGGACCCCCCGGTCGCCCCCTCAGGGCGCCGGGTGTGTCCGGGCGGTGCTGGCGATCTGGGCTTTAGCCCCGGGGCCCAGCCGCCGGCAGAAAAGCACCCGCCAAGCGGGAATTAGGGGAGAAGCCTCGGAGGCAGGTGAGGGCAGGCGGCCCGCGGAGGGGCGAGGGGCGGGGGGGGCCTGCGCTGCCAGAGGCTTTGTTCAATTACAAGCCAGGCCCCGTTTCGGGAGAAGCCAATTAGAGCCCCGCTGGGGGATCATCTGACCGCGCTCCTGCCCAGGAGGGGCTTCGGGAGGGGCGGGGCGGGCCGGGCGGCGGCTCCTCCGGGACCCGGGCGCGGGCCGTGCGGGGGAGTCCCGGGCGCCCGGGCGGAGCCCCGCCCCGCCCCCGCCCGCCCGCCCGCCCCCGCCCGCCAGGCCCCGCCCCCGGGGCTTCCCGGGCGCGCGCCGCCCCGCTGTGTCCGCGCGCCACGCCCCCCAGCTCGCGGGCCGCGTGCGGAGCCGCGCGCCCCGGAGGCTCCGCGACCGTGGCGGCGGGCGGCGGCGGCGGCGGCGGTGGCGGCGGCGGCGCAGCCCTCCGCGGGCCATGTCTTCTCCGGACGTGGCTAGGAGCTCCCCGGGGGGGAGCCGGGAGATGGCGCCCGCGCCGCGGGGCCGGGGCCGGTTCTGGGAAGTGGGCGGCGGCGGCGGCGGCGGCGGCGGCGGCGGCGGCGACCGGCTGGAGCGCGCGGCGGCGGAGTCGGGGCGCTGGGAGCTGCTGCTCCGCCGCGGCGAGCTGCTGGCGCTGGGCGGCCACCTCAAGGGAGCGCTGGAGGCGTACGCGGCGGCGCTGCGGCGCGGGGCCCCGGTCAGGCCCGACTGCCTCGGCACCCTGGTGGACTGCCTGGTGCTCAGCTACCGGCTCCGCCACGGGCTGGGCTGGAGCGCGGCCCCGGCGGCGGGCGCGGACCCCGGGGCCGGCGGGCTGCTGCGCTGCCTGGGCTGCCGGGGCTTCCTGAGCGAGCCGGTGACCGTGCCCTGCGGCCACAGCTACTGCCGTCGCTGCCTGCGGAGGCAGCTCCGAGCCCGCTGCCGCCTGTGCCGGGACCGGCTGCCGCCCGCCGCCGCCGCCGCCGCCGATGCCGAGGGCACCACCCCGCGGCCGCCGCCTCCCGCCGCCGCCGCCGCCGCCGCCGCCGCCGCCATCGCCGCCCCGGGCTTCAGGACCAGCGTCGTCCTCAACCACCTGGCCGAGAAGTGGTTCCCGGGCCAGCGGGAGCGAGCCCGCGCGGCCGGCCGGCTCGGGGACCTGCTGCACCAGGGACGCTACCGGGAGGCCCTGGCCGCCGCCTGCGAGGCGCTGCGAGCAGGTGACCGCGCGGGGATGCGGCGGGCCCGGCCGACCCCCCGCCCCCGCCCCCGCCCCGACGGGCCGGCCGCCCCGGGCTCGCGGCGCCCCGGGGGACGCTTCTCCGCCTCCCCGAGGCCGCCCGGCTCCCGCGCGTGGGGCTTCGGGGTCCCGGCGGGTGTGGGAGGGGGCGGCGCCCCGGAGCGCTTCGGTCACAATGGGGATCGCCTTCCGAGGCGGCTGTGACGCGGCGCGGGGAGGGGCGCCCCGGCTCGGGGTTCCCCGGCCGCGGCCCTGCGGTCTGCGGGGGGCGCCGCGAGCGGAGCGGGCGGCCCGGGGGAGGGCGCCGGAGCGCGGGATGGGGTGGAAGTTGGGCGAGCCCGAGCCGCAGCTTCCTGCCGCGCTCCTTCCTGCAATTGGCCGGCCCGGCGGGGCCCGGCTGGGGCCGCCGCCCGCACTCGGCGGCCGGGGCGGGGGGTGGGGCTCCCCAGCCCAGGCGGGGCGCGCGGCGTTTGCCGTCGTACCCCGCAGAAGTCACCGGGGCAGTTGGAAGCCGCGGGAGGGCACAATTGCATAAGCTGGGGGGGGGGGTTGTGTAACGGGTGACGTCCGGTGGGCGTGGCGGGAGCTGGGCGCCCGCACCCCGCTCCGGGAGGCCCGGCCGGCCGCTGGGCGCGGGCGGCTGCCGGGGCTGCCGGGCTGCCGGGGCGGCGGGGGTCCGCGCCCACCTGCGCTCGCCTGCACGCTGGCTGCCCGAGGCGGCCTGCCCGGGCCACAGCGTAACGCTCGCGTGCTCACCTTTCGCGTAGCCCTGGCTCACCGTAGACGGGAAGAGGTAGTCTCTGCTGAGTTCTTAGACGCGCCTGCCTGCCTTTCCACTCCTGAGGAAGCCGTAGGGAAAAAGCCTTTTATTTTTTTTTTTAATTTTTATTTATTTATGATAGTCACAGAGAGAGAGAGAGAGGCAGAGACACAGGCAGAGGGAGAAGCAGGCTCCATGCACCGGGAGCCCGACGTGGGATTCGATCCCGGGTCTCCAGGATCGCGCCCTGGGCCCAAGGCAGGCGCCAAACCGCTGCGCCACCCAGGGATCCCGAAAAAGCCTTTTAGATCTTTTGTCTGATCCTTCTTCGTCTCCAAGAAGCCGCTTCGGCTTCCTGACCTAGGTTAGCACCGTTAAGGGGGTCTCAGGCTGCGGAAGGGGGCCCTGCCCGACTTGAGGTAGAATGGAGAGTTCTTTACATCGGTGGTTCCCCCACTAGGGGGGGATTTTTACCGCGGGGGAGGGGGGAAGGACGTTATCTAGAGCAACATCTGGTAACAACTGGAGACATTTTCGGTTGTCTCCCCTTGCGGGAGTGAGTAGTAGTGCTGGTACATCTAGTGGGCAAAGGCCAGGGATGCTGCTCAGCGTCGTACAGCGCACCGGACAGCCTCCCACACAGTTACCAGGCCCCAAATGTCGATAGTGTCCCTCTTAAGCCTTGTGTTAAATAAGCATATTTCAAGGTTGGTGTCTTTGTTGGCATGAAATAATGCTTGAGGGAGTAATAATACCGGAGAAAGTAGACATCCAAAATAAAAACTGATACTAGGTATTAAGTCAATTTATAAACTGAGTAACTGAAACGCTCTTTTGTGGGTCCTTTATCCTAAGTGCTTAGTCATTTTGGACTAGTGACCTTCTGTTTAATACCTTTAGAGCGCAAAGCACAAACTTGGCATATTTTCATAGTCTTTGGGTATCTTTATGGGAAGTGTAAGCAGTCATAAAGGGGAATAATAGAAGGATAGGCCCAGAACAAAAGAGAACTAGTTGGAATACAAAGTTCTGATACAGGCAGCTCCGCCTTTCTGGGTAGAGTTTGAGGAAGTACAGACCATCTAGGCCATGGTCCTCATTTTAAAAATGAAGCAGGAGCAAGGACAGTGAAAGGATTTGTCCCACAGACCACACAGCTAGCTGGTTGGAGAGGCAACATTATATCCTCCATTTCTCCTAAATGTTGCACTTTGGTGGGTCCTACCTAGCTTTAGAACTCATCTTTTGAAAATGTTTGGCACATTTCCAGAGAAGTTGTTGTTGTTTGGCCTGGTATAAAATAAAGGCTAAAACTTACTGATAGCACCGTGCAGTATTAAATACTCCATAAAATTTAAGCACTTCATAAGAATTCAGGTCTTAATCTACAGAACAGTGAGCACATTTACTAATTTAAGGTCTGGCTTACTGTTCTATAACCAGTAATCTTTTAATTAAGGAGGATTTGGGGCTTTGGATTGGAGATATTATTTTTAACAGAAAAAAACCCCTGTCTCTTTTTTGAAGACAATTTGCATGGTATGCACAGAAGAATTTTGCCTATTTAGCTACTTAAATCTTACTTTTGTGGAACTAGAACTCAGGTCTTTTGACTTTCACCTCATAGCCAATTTTTCCCTCTTCTGAGGTCTTTCAAAAATCATTAATTCCCTTCTCAAAAATGTGTCTGAATGTTATTAACAAGGATAACTTTTTTCATCCCATAAATCTGTAGTGCAGCATTGGAGGGAAAAAAAGATCTTAGAGTTAACAAATTGTAGTTGGTATAGATATCAAGTATTCTAACAATTTTGGGGGATAAATAAAAATATTTAATAGAGTCATAAATCTGTAGTTAGGCATTAACTTTTTCAGAGTCAGTTCATTAGATAGGCATTTGAAATGCGTTTATGTAATTGTACAGTGGTAGTAACTAAAAGACCTTCACTATAATTTCTTCACAAAATCCTTATGAAAAACTAAATACTATTAACTAGAAAAAGATAATCTAGTCTGCAGTTAGCCCACACCCGTCCAGATTTATCCCTGTTGACAAGAAAGGAAAGCTTGAAAACCTTTACCAAAATCAGAAGGTTCCCATTGAGATTACATAAGTTTCTGTCAAGTTGAAATATATTTAGATAACATTTAATCTATTGATCTTTTGGTATTAACTCTCAGATGTTTCATAACTTTCTGTCTCGTTAGTATTCAGGGCTATTATGTAAAAGCCTTTGCTGTGTTGAATCTTTATACTTAAGAGCCTGTTGAAATGCCCCCACTCTGCTGTGCTATTTTCCATTTATTTTTAATGAATTTTTGCACTGACTTGGCTCCTCCCTGTAAATACCCCTCTCTCCTAAAAGAAGACAAAAGACTGTTGTAATTTACTGTTTGAACTGGTTTTAAAATAACAAAGGTCATAACAGGGAGAGCAGTTTATTTCAAATACTTATAAACGTTTGTTTTTTAACATTAATTGTATAGTTCTTGCCTATTAAGCATGAAAAAATATTTAACATATCATTTGATCTTCGTAAAGAATCCTGTGGAGTACCCTTAACCTCAGAAGGAAACTGAGGCAGCTAGCAGCGGAGGCGCAGCTGTCCTAGTGGTTAAAGCTGTGCACACTGGCAGCTGACCACCCAGGCTTGCATCCCAGCGCAGCCCTCCACTTGCGCTCTGACCTTGGGCCTATTGTCTAACCTTTCTGTTTTGGTTTCCTTATCTGAAAAGAGAGAATAAGAATAGTATCTCATAGATAGATAGCAGTAGTCACAACTACCTAGGGCTGTTGGGAGAATTATTATTTTTTTTTTTCTGATTCTTTTTTTTTTGTTGGGAGAATTAGATGTAGAGTGCTTTGAATGGTGCCTGACAAAATAAATGCCTAGTAAATATTAATTAAAATATGTTTAGGGGCGCCTGAGTGGCTCAGTCAGTTAAGCATCTGCCTTTGGCTCAGGTCATGATCTCAGGGTCCTTGGATCCAGCCCTGCCTCCGGCTCCCTGCTCAGCAGGAAGTCTACTTCTCCCTTGCCCCAGCCCTCCTCTTGCTTGTGCTCTCTCACACTCTTGCTCTGTCTCTCAAATAAAGAAATAAAATCTTTAAAAAATTTTTTTAAATGTAAAAGTTGTGCTACAACTAGAAGATGATTTAGCTAAAATGAAAATCTAAATGTTATGATGTCAGTCCTGTTCTTTTCTCTCTCCCACATTAGTATTACCAGAGTGAGGGTTAACTCCTGATTCTAGCCTATGTGTGTGAATTAGTAGTAACATTTTAGCACCCATCAATAAAATAGAGATACTGAAAGGCTTTAAGTATAAATAGATTAGTCAAATTATAGGTAAATACTGAATACACTTAAAATGTAAAGGTGTTTTGGGGGTGTCTGGGTGGCATAGTCCGTTAAGCCGCAAAGTGTCTGCCTTGGGCTCAGATCAGGATCTCAGAGTCCTTGCTCAGCCAGGAGTCCGCTTCTCCTCAGTCTGCCCCTCCCCCCACTTCTTTTGTGTTTTTTTATCTCTCTCTCTTAAATAAAATTAAAAAAAAAGACAATGTAGAGGTGTTTAATATCTTAATTAGGTTAATGCGAAGAGATTTAAATTTATTTAATCAGTAAACTTTGTATGCCCTAAGTTAATCTGTAAAACACTTGAAATAGTATACACTGAAATTTACATGGTGTCTCATAGTTTACAAAATATTTTCATTTCCCTTAACTGATCCTTACAAAAGATTACATGAGGTAGGAGGGCAGCTTTAGCATTCCTAATTCACGGACTGAAAAAGAGAGCTCCAAGAATTTTAAGTGACTTTATTGAGGCAAGTAAATAATCAAGTTAGAACTGAAAGCAGAAGCACCAGGTATGTGGATCCTGTTTCTAAGACTAAAATTCATTTTAAAAATTAGCATGTAAGTCATAAATCTCAAGTACTATTATTTATTCAGTGGGTATTTACTGAGTACTTACTACATACATGGCTAGAAATAAGAAGTGGACAAAATACAGACTCTGTCCTTATAGAGTCTGTATTTTTTTTTTATTTTAAAGTTGCAGTAAATTGGTATTTATTGAAAAGAAAAGGAGTTTATTGCTTAACTGACATAACAAACAGCCTATATGCAATAGATCTCTGATTCACCTTTTCTTTGAGTCAGAAGGCACTTTAAGGATTTTTGCAATGCCTCAGGGTCACTACAAAAAGCAGTCAC